CTAAGTTGTTTGATAATAACAATAAGCTTGTCTTCTGGATGGTTAACAACCTAAGTTTGCAGACCAAAATTACAGAAAAAGGAGGGCTGCAAGGGTAGGCAACAGTTTGGCCCTAACCTTCTAAGGTCAATTAAGACTCAGAACATATGAGAACTTGTACTGTAATGTCATGTAACTCGGTAGTGTCCCAAATTTTCAGATCAAGGAGATTATGTGGCCAAAGACGAAAATGATCGATGTTGTAGAGTGTGCCTAAGGAGAGTCCCATGGAGAGAAAACACTCTCTCATGCTTTCACAGAGAGCACATTGGCCAAGCAATGGCCATGACTCTTCCACATGACTGACACTGACAAAGGTTCTACAATCTGAGGTACTGGATCTCAGGATAAATCCTGAGGGGATTTCAATGACCTTCTCAGACCCAAATGCTACTACTCTTGTTGCATAGGTCATGCTTTACCTTCGTCTTACCATCCAGTAGAAAAGTATGAAGATGAAATATAGGAAGTAAAGTCAGACTGTTATGTTGAGCTGTGGGGTACTCAGGTCAACAATTTCTGACATTGCCAGTTAAACAGAAGACCCAATGATATTATGGGCTACTGGACTCTTTTAGAATACTTTGCTGAGTTTACACACCTATAATATTCAAATAACGGAACTTTACAGAAAAGGGTATGCAGATGAATGTCCATTTTGTATCTTTGTATTCAAAGTGGTTATGATAGATATATAGTTACATTCTGTTAATGAATAGAATGTTTTGTTCTAATGGTGTTTGTAAATAGGATCTCAAGTCCGCATCTTGCACAGCAATTAACCACTAAGAAGAATGTATGCATTGTGTTAATTATTGAAACTGTCCTAGCGATTTGATTTGAAACTGTCTCATTGCTATTTGTTTATCAATAAAATTATGAAAAAAATTTAAAAAATAAAAAACTAAAAAAAATTGAAAAAGAAAGTGATTTGTTTTCTAACACTGAAGATGACTAAACTATAAAAAAAAAGAAACCTGAGCCCTATGGTATATTTACAATGTTTATTTATATGCTATGTGAACGAATTGCCCTCTCCTTCCCTTTCATGCCTGGAACCTTTAGTACATCTGTTAAGATCTTCTTACAGGGAAATTCACACAACCTTCCTTGTAAACCTGAATGGGTAAGAACAAAGCTCTCCTGATAGGAAACCAGACTCAGGACCACTTTTCACCTGCGTGACCTTAGGCAAATCTATTAGTTCTTTGATCCCTTTGTTTCATGTCATGGAATGGGAATATAGTAGTAACTATTTACTGGAGTTATCTTTACGATAATAGGAGATAATGCACCTAAAGAATAGTGCCAGACACATAAGAAGTACTTAGTAACTTGGAGCTATCTAAAAATATGGCTTCGTAATCCCCACTTAAATTTGAATCTACTAGAAGTCAGGGACTATTGTTAATCTTTGTACTGTCTCCATTCAGTTTATCAACTAGCATATACTTAGTACCAAATAAAGATTGTGCAGACCTTCTTAAACCATTGCCTTGGAGGTATCTAGGTTATTCCTGGGTAATGCAAAGTTTAAGATGTTTGAGGACGCTTACTTAAATACAAGCTAACTGTAAGAGGATGGGATCCATGCAGGGCCAACATTTCCTAGACAGTCTCCTGAATCAGGTAAACCCACTGAAACTTGAGCTGGGATGGCTAAATATCTGAGAAGACCACTTTCTCTAGGCTATGCTAGACTAAGGGAATACTTGGAGTATGTTGTGGTCCCAAAATTCCAATGTTGAAATTTTTTCAATAATTGTGTTAAGAAACAAATAGCCATGAGACAGTTTCAAAACCGATTACTAGCACAGTTTTAATTATTAATATATTGCATATTGTTGTCTTAGTTGTTAGTCATTTCACAAGATGCAGACATGATATCCTGTCTAAAAACACTCTTAGAACAAATATTTCTACTCAATTAATTAAGAGAATGTAGCTGTATATCTATTCTAATTATTTTCAGTATACAGAAACAAAATGGTTGTTCATTTGGATCCCCTTTTTTGTTTAGTTTTCTCACAGATGGGTATTCCATTCTCATTTAAGTATTATAGGTGCAAGAACTCAGCAAAATAATCCACTATAATTGGGTAGTCCATAACAGTAGTGGGTTTTTATAAGACTGGCAATCTCAGAAGTTGTTGACTTGAGCCTTTTACAGCTCAGTGTATTAATATTTATTTTTCCTATAATTTTATTGAGAAACAAATAGCAATGAGACAGTTTTAAACCAAATTGGAAGGACAGTTTCAATAATAAACACATTGCATACGTTCTTCCTACTGGTTATTTGCTGTACAAGATGTGGACATCATATCATATTTACAAAGACTATCAGAACAAATTCCTCTATTCATTAAGAGAATGTAACTATATATCTATCCTAACCATTTTGAATACACACATACAAGATGGACATTCATCTGTATCCCCTTTTTTGTTAAGTTCCATCATTTGAATATTATAGGTGTGTTAACTCAGCAAAATATACTAAAAGTCTCAAGTAGTCCATAATAGTATTGGATCTTCTGTTTCACTGGCAATGACAGAAATTGTTGACCTAAGTCTCCTACAGCTCAACATAACAGCATGGCTTTACTTCTTATACTTCATTTTTATACTTTTCTGCTGGATGGTTAAGAACAAGATAAAGCAAGACTTATGCAACAAGAGTTGTAGATTTTGGGTCTGATCAGGTCAGTGAAATCCCCTCAGGATTTATCCTGAGATCCTGTACCTCAGATTGTAGAACCTTTGTCAGTGTCAGCCATGTGGATGAGT